ATTGAATCAGGGACCGAAGCTTTGCACAGCCCTAATGAATATAACTTCACTTTAGGTGCTGAATATATTTACAACAGTATGATCATTTTTCACATCAGTATATAAAAAGATCAGAAACACAATGTATGGCCCTTACTGGTGTAACTTACTTGGATCTGGTGTAGAGTTGCCCTGGGAAATCCCAGGGGTAAAAATATACCACTGCAGGTATCATATCTCTGCAGTCTATCCCAGGATAACTATTTGCTAAAGGCTAACAGGCTATTATCTGCTCCCCAACTACTCCAGCTACTTCTGGAACTGTCCAAATCCCAGTGTAATTTACATTTGTGCGCACAATCAATGTAAATTACACTAGTGTAAATGGGCACCTATACATGTGATGGACTTTTGCTCCATGTACCTTAGCATGTATCAGAGCAGATTACTCAAGTCTGCTGCGAGCCTGATGGAGCGTGCTAATTAGCATGCTCCAACAGCCTCCATGTCACATTTATTCAGCACCCCTGTGTTTCAAAATGGTGATGGGGGCACTTTATTTAAAGCTCGTTGAATAAGCTTTAGTTAAAGTGCCCCACAACCATTTTGAAGCACAGGATGCTGAATACACATGACACTGTGGGCACTTTAATTAGAGCAGCTATCAGAGAGCTGCTTTAATTAAAGCACCCTCCCTCCACTCCAGAGCATATGCATAGATGCCCAATGTGTCCAGCTACTCAGAACTTTACACATCCTGCATTGGTCCAATGCATTGGTCTAGATACCCCTTTTGCATGTTATGAATTTAAAATACCCATGGATAGAAACTAACAAAAACAATTTGCCATCCCTAAAGTGTTTCTAGGTGTAACACATCACTGTTATAAGTTGCAGTAACAGTTTTCTGGTAGCAAGCATGATGTGGGATTAGCATTATAACCATTTATAGCGTGTTAGCTTACAGGTCTCACTTAAGTCAAGGCTCTGTTTTTCTAGGCACTTTAAAAACATATAGCTAATGGATATGCGTGCCCAAAAGAGCTTATTTGGCACCATTCTTAAAAATTTACACAAAAAATATAGTTCCTGTTTGGCGACCTTACAATAAGAAAAGTCCTTACAACCTTTGGCCTCAGTCCTGCAAAGGTTTACATGTTACAAATTTTACACAAATGAGTAGAGCCATCAAACTTAAAGGCATTAAAAGGAATGATTTCCTGCTTTCAATTATCTGACTGCTTTGTGAAATGAAACAATGGCCTGTGGATTTCTGTAAACATACACAGGCACTGTCCTGCTCTGCAAAACTACAGAGGAGGAAGAACTAGGCATTTCCTGCCATCTAGTGGCTTCAATCAAGAACAACGATCTTGGTTTCTTTTAAGGTTTAGAATATTTAAAAATTCATAGTTCTGATCAGCACCAGGAAGCACATAAAGAACCAGAGGAAATTGCTTTGCTTCACTTCTAACAGCAAAAGATTCCATGTGCAATTACCAGGGTTTGAAGTGTAGCTTTTTATTAGCAATGGCCCACACAAGCCTGATCTTTAGCTGGTATAAAACAGTTTAGTTCCACAGGAGTCCGTTCCAATTTAAACAACAGAAAATAAAGTCCTATGCTAAAATGCTGAAAATCAGATGACAGGCTTCAAGAAAACTTCTTAGTTATGGGTTCTGCTTTCTAGAAAGAGATGGCATATATTGTAATGTATAACATTGAAGGCTATTTTGATCTGAAGGGAATACTGATACCTTAAAATATTTTAGACTCATATTTTAAAGTATTCCAATGGGACTTTGTTACTAAATAAAGGGACTGGCATAGCGTTAACTCTTTCCCAATGTCTCTGTGGCCACATCTGAGATGCTAACTGCGCAGTAGCCTAGTAACACTGTGCAGCAGCATGCTGGACAAAACCTGTGCTAATACGCTACTGTGCAGTAGTATTAAGGGTACTGCACAGTAAGCATCACTAAATAGCTATGTGCCCGCACTACTCTACAATAGCACAAGTTACTGCACATAGATTTAGTACTTGGTTAATCAAGTACTAAACTGAATGTGCTGTAACTATGGTGCATTAATGAACATGTAGATGTGCCCTGTATGCAGTAAATGCAGTGTGTCACCCTTTGTGTGTAGCAGGTTCTCAAAGATAGTCTAAGAACCAGTTCACTAATTTCAAAGTGTCAGTTTGTGGCTCAGTGGATAAAAAAAAAAGTTAGAGAACAAAGCTCAGATTACATTTGGACTACAAGGGAAACATAGATTTAGTGATCTCAAATGTGGCCCATAGAGAATAACTGTCCATATTATTTATTTTTAAATGTATATCCCACTATCAGACAGTACATGCTGCAGGTCAGGTATTGGCAAAGTAGTTTGAGGAAGCTTTCACAATGCCTAACTGTTCTATATGGTAGCTGGTTTTAAATCCTTCACTTTTATAAACAGCAGGATATATGATTTCTTTCACCCAATAAGTGGTGAATTCCTAACACTTTGAATATGAGACTCTTGATTTTAGTGTAAATTTACTGCAAAAAATAGCAGCAACACCTTGTAATTTAACAAAAACTTGTTGGTCAAAACTTTTCCCATTCTTTTCTAATGAATATGTTAAAATATTCTCTCCTACACCTGAAACCTCTTTGGGGTTAATTAAAATGTTAAAATATCATCTTATGATCATTCTCAAGCTCCTTAGCAATAGGACTTACTGTTCCTTACTGTCAGGATTAACACTATTTGCATTTCCCTCTTCTTTCTTTCTAATATATCACATCACACTTCATTCAGAATTTCTCCTGCTCTCTGGAGGACAATATATCCCTGAAGCATTCAGTGAACAAACTTTTCCCCTATGCAGACACACCATAAGAACACTGAAAATGAGCACATTGTGTCTGTAGACACAATTTTCAAGGCTCAATTTTCAGTGTACATTAAGGTCTGCAGTAAGGGGCAGTGATGCACAAGGACAACAATTTAAAGAATTACAAATGAAGTGCTTAGTGCAATGCATTGCACTTCCTGATTGTACATCTCATTTGGGGTCTAATCCTGCAAGCAACTGTTTCTGAATCATTTATTTCAATGGAAGGTGTCCTTTTAAGGGGGTCTAGGTTTAGGTTCGTCCAACTAAGTGTGCAGTCTGTTTTCAGTTCTCTCAGAGGTGTTTTCAATTCCTTTTATTTGTGATGTTATCTGCATCATGGCAGTACCAGTACAGCATTTCTTTCTTTCAACAAATGCCTGGGCATGGGTCCCTGACATCCTACTGCATATATCAGGAGTAACTATGAATAACATCAGTGAGAGTTATTCCTTTTCCTTGGGCTAGGGACAGACATTCAAAAAGCCTGAGCTTGAATTGATTAGTCTAACTTGCAAAGCTTGAACTGATTTGGAGGTGGATAGACATTCCCTTTTCATTCCAGAAATTCAGGCACATGACGGCAGTAGCTCAGGCAAGAAGGTGGGGGGAGGCATGGCCAGGCCCTAGCAGGACACTGTGACTAGAAAGGGTTCCCCCCCACTCCTGAGCAGCCCAGCAGGGAATGTTTATCACCCCTAACTCAGTGTTTATTGACTCATGAAGAAAACAGAGGGACATTACTAGCTATCGGTTGATTCTACCTTTGTCCTGTGTGCCACAGCTCTGAGGTAGCCAGCATGTGGCCTGCTAGCTAATGCTGAGAGGTGTCTGTGAGGAATGGCGGAATGCCTGCTTAGCAGAAAGTGGGAAGGGGGAAGGGTGGGGAGCAGAAGCCAGGCAGATGCCTGTAGAGACTGCTGGAGCTGCAGCCAGGGAGCAGAGGGGAGGGGCCAGCCCTGCTGTGAGCTAAGAGCCCTGCCCAGCCCAGAGAGCATGCTGGGATGCTGGGGGAGTCTGGTTTATCTTAAAATCAGCAATGGGTTTGGGACAGACATTGCATAAACTGGTTTGACCCAAATCAGTTAAGTCTCATACTACAATCAACCAGGTTTCTCTCAGACTAGTTTCAGCCATTTTTGAACTGGTTTATGTGCACTGGACTTCTGTTTTGTTACAGGTTTAAACCAGTTTCTGATCACTTAAACTGGTTTATGTGTAATGTCTGTCCCTAGCCTTGGTGATAGACTATTGACTGACACATGTAATCAAAAACAAATTGGTAGAAGTTAAGGACTTTATTGTTAATAGTGATGAGACCGATGATGGAAAAATGTATCTTCTCAGATACAAGTACCCATTTTCCAAAATTAGTTGCTTGCAATGAAGGGGTGCATTGTAAGGAAGAAGAAGTAGAAACAGCAGCCTGCTGCTTAAGTCTGTGCCAAAAGGAAGCAAAAGTAAAACTGCATGCTGCACTCAGGGCTCTCCCCACCTGCTGGCTGTGGATGCCCCGCCACCCCCCACTGCCAGAAGCTCACAAAGAAAGCCTTTTTTTTTAGCATTTCAAAACCAAGATGCATATTTTATTAGGGGTTTGTTGCATATGAGAAAATACTGGTATTTTTCTCAAAGGAATTGGTTGGGTTTTGTTACATCTCTACCTGCAGAATACTTGCTCCCCCAATATGAGCTTTTTTGCCACTGTTCCACTGCAAAAATCTTTTCTCAACTTGCACTGAACTCTTGGGAATTATAGATAGAATTAGCAGAATTTGTTTATTTAGTTGGCTTGCAAGATATAAAAATCAACCTGGAAAGGTATTTTTTCCCCAACAGGAGAATAGTTGTTATCAGAATTAAGCCTGAACTAGTGGATGGAATATGAATATTTCCTTATTATTTTATGTGGGGTGGCACCACAAACAGAATACAGATCCAGCATTATGATGAACCCACAGTGTTAGAGAAGGCTTGATCTCAGGTAAAACAATGTTATCCATCCCCAACATGGCTTGAAGGATTTGACCCTATGCAATTAAATAAATCTTCTTGCATCTTCCAGCAAAGTAAACATTTTTGGCAAAAAAGCTATTCTGCATTGGTCAGAATATTTTCAGCTACTTGCAGCTCACATTACCTGAATGGTAGACAGAAGGCTTTATGCTGGCAGTAGTGACAACTCTTGGTTTTGGAGCAGAAACTGGACTTTCGCTGTAGCTTGTGCTAGGAGCTGGACCATGGGAAGCTGGTGCTGGCATATAGGACTGGCTCGGACTTCTAAAAGCAAAATGAAGCTGTGAGCAACTTACAGGTAGTAACAGATGTGATTATGAATTCAAGAGGTTTGGCAGTTTCCATAATACCCCATGTGATGTGTCCCTTGAAGCCACAGAAAGAAGACTGTGAGATTCATTAGCCTTTGAGGCAACTGGTGCCACTTCATACACCAAGTGCAGCTTCCAGCACTGTGTTTAATTTTAAACATATAACTTCAATATGGAGGAAGAAGTTTGTTAACCAGATGTTGCCATGTGTTTAAAACACTTTAAGGTGGACCAGTGGTATGGAAAACTAACCGCTGTGCAATCCAACTGAACTCTAGTTACATGTGTCACACAAGCTGAGTGTGACCCCCCTGAGGCAAGAGCCCATCTAGTAGGGCCAAACATTTGAAAATAGGCTTCTTAGTCTATTTACCTGTACTCATTGAAATCAAGGGGAAATTGCTGTTGACTTAAATGGGATCAAAATCAGGAACAAAATATGTGAAATTTCTGCCAGGGATCTATACTGGTGTTTTTGAGAAACTTTCCTCCACTTCTGGAAGAGATTAAAGTCTTTCAAAGGAATTAACAGACTGGCCTTTAGAAACAGGGAGAGAAATATGTATAATTTCTGAAGCAGGCCCCTTTCCAGGTTTAGATGGAGATCATAATGTATTAACTGAAGCACAAACACTGCATGTAATTTACAGTTAAGATGCCTCTTCTATGCTTGGGAATGTATAACTCTGTCCAGAGCTCCAAATGGCTGCAGTTCAGGGCTGCAAGGAGGAAAGTCAGTCCTGAATGTATTCTTTGTCTCCCCTTTCTTATGGCTCATGTGATGACCCTTAGTTTAATTACAATAAACAGAAGACTAATTTGCAGCCTCCATTTAGTAGACTTATCATCACCTTGCTTCATGGTGCATTCAAAGATCTTGACCTAATTATTTCACTCATAAATAATAGTAATTTTTACTGTCAGAAAAACTGCTTATTTAACCATAATTATTGTGAGGGAATGACTATGAGCAAAAAGCCTTTGTGTTATGATCTCTTTAATCAAGCACTGCTATATTGCACTATTATCTCTGTAAGTAACTCTAGTGCTTGCTGAATCAGTATAGAAGGGTTTGTCAGAAAGTAAAGTCTTCTAATTTTTATCTCCCAAGTAAGCCAAGCAAGCCATAGATATAGAGGGTGTTCCTTTTGATTTCTTGTGTATGGTAACTACAGTAAACTCAGAGGTCTATGTCAAGACCCTAAAGAAACTGAAACATTGCAAGCAAAGAAAGCCCCAAAGAGACATATCTGAGGTACTGTTTTTGCATGACAATGTTTGCCCACACACCAGCCTAAGTGCCATAGAAGCAATCTTATAGAGGAACTGTGTGACCCTATCCTCTGTACAGCCCAGAGAATGAAGGATGGACTACGGGGTAACTTGTCTGCAGGGGAAGCAAAGTGATGGAAGCTGTGTGATAGCAGCAGTAAGACAAGGACAAGGGTTTTACAGTGCCAAGGTACATGCCCTTGGTCCACCAATGGAAAAAGGTCATGGATAGAGAAGAAAACTGTTGAAAAACAGCTGCTTGTTTGACAATGATGTACACGTTTTCTGTGTAGGTTTAATATTTTTTCAGTAATATTGGGCTGAAAAAGATAGGCATTACTTTATGACCAACCCTCTAAATATGAGTAACTTCAATGGACCTACTCAATAGAGTAAGATTCCTCAGATGCACAGGTACTAACTGGATCTGGCCCTTACTGTGAGGGCCCAGAAACTTCCGGGATTATATATACATATAAATATATATATATAAATTTAGCATTCTTAAGACAATGATCCAAATGCATACATTACTCTGATCATACAGGTGATCACTTTTCCCTCTGATATAACAATTTTATATTTTTTTATGTGCCATGATACTTCAGGACGTGGACAGGTCTCTCATTCATTGATTTTGAGCCCAAAAAAGGACCATTACAGTTCCCATGCACAAGAAATTGCACCCAGATCTGTGCTGTATACTGGGTTAGACTACAGTCTCTTGTGGTCTTAATATTTATGAAGCCACATCAAAGTAGCCAAAAAAAAAAAGATAAGAAAATTAACTCTTCCTCAAAAATCACATCATATTGTCATCATTACAAGAGGTGTGTGCGATTGTCTGAAGAAGTGAGCACTGGATTTAAAGCAGCATCTATTTACATTAAAGTAGTCAACATCTATCTACTTTACAGCTATCTTGGGGGGTACACAGTCACTAAATATATGCAAAGTACTATTACCTTGGTGAAAAGAACAATTCTTACTAGGACAGTCAGTGGCATAAGAGGATATAAAAAAAATCCTAGTTTTCAGGATCTGTTCAATCTGCCTTGACTGGACTGATTCTAAGGAGTGTAGGGAACGTTTAACGATATCCCAGCAGATAGATAAACAGGGTACCTTCATTTAATGGGGATGAGGGTAGTTAGGAATCAGGTCATAGTGGCAACCTGGGAAAAGAACAACAGAAGGCAGAAAGAAGTGCAAGAAGGAAACAAGTCAGAAGGAACAAATTCAGAGGCTCATATGGAGGTCTGCATCAAATGCCTCACTCCACATAGGAAGAGTAGTTAAACACATCTAGGACTTGAAAGCCTCTTTTCTCTTCTCAGTCACATCTGCTTGTTTCCCAAACTCCTTTTTCCTTCAGTCCCATTATTTCATTGAGTATTAGCGAATCTTTAGCTCCATGCGAGTAAGAGCCCTATATATTTCTGCTGGCGGTGTGAAAATTTTCCTGCCTACAGAGCTAACCCTATTTTGTGTGTGTGCACATATATGTGCATACATAGACTAGTTCTGAATTTAGAGTACCTGAAACTCAAATTATAATAAAATATTTGGATAGGTTTATCCTTGGTGTGGACTTGGCTGTACTGTGCCACAGTTTTATAACTCTGAGAACTGCTCTGACTTAAATCAACAATCACTGCAACAGAATCAAAATTTATGATACTGTTCATATCTACATATATTTCCTGTAGATTCCCCTCTGTAGTGTTAGAAGACACAGAATCATTGGTCTTCTTTGTATCCCTGAAAGAATAATTAAATAAATCAAAGCTTATCCCATTTTAGAACATTATCTTGAGGTTATTGGAAACTACTGTGCAGGTATAACAGAATTTACCTCTTATGAGGCTGTCAAAGGCTAAAATAAAGACAAAACGAATATATTCAGTGTTTCAAGCTTTGTGGGAAAGTAGTTATCCACTATTTATCCAACTTCATGGGAAACTAGTTATCCAATAAACTAATGCAACATGCTACTTTTAAAGGGTCTCTGATCGGTATCTACTGTATAGAATAAGAGGTTAAAAATTATACCAGTTATACAGCAATCATTTGAATTATACTGGAACCAGCATTGCAGACTATATTTCAGTTCCAAAAAACCTGCATATGCTAGTACAAAGATTTGCTTCTAAAACTGAATTTTCACAATTCATTTGGAAGCTCCGAGTCAGGCTACTAACATTCAGACTGTTAGGAAGAAAAATCTTTGTATAATAATGAAGTATTTCCTAATTTTAATAGTACTTTACAACACTTAACTCAATTTCCTTGTGCATCTAGGAAAATAAAGTTCGCTAGAGAGAAAAATCTCAACTAGAGGAAAAAATAAGTTTGTCTCCAAATAAAAGACCAGCAGCACAACCGAGTTTAAAAAGTAACTATGGAACTGTTAAAAAAGACACTGAAGTAAGGATGCAGATTAGATTTATTGCTAGAGGAAAAAAGGTCCTGCAAGAGAAATAACTCATTATGCTACATCATTAGGAGTTTTAGTAAAGCTAAATCAGGCGTGGAAAGATTTGTCAGCTAAATTTCTGCTGCAGAAAGTGAAACAGTAGTTAAGCAAGTGATAAAAAATCCCAAGGACTGAAGATAGTTAAATGGAACATTAAAACAATGGGATCTGCAAGAAGCAGTGAATGCATCCCACCTTTACTATAACAGACAACAGAATGTAAGAGGCAGCAAATAAAATACCCTTGAAACCTATTAGTCATCAGGAAAAGGAGAGAGGAAATATTTTAAGATCATTTTTGGTTAATACTTCTCTAGCAATCTACCAGTAGCATTAAGGTGACATGTTACATTTTTTAATGTGTACTATAGCTGCACAAGCTAATGGTTTATACCTCTTTTTAGACTGGTAGCTGATGGAGGTAGAAGAATGCCGGTTGAAGCTAAAATAAGACAAACATTGGTATTTTTATGCAAAAGAAAACATCATTGGAAACTGAGAATTAAATATATCAGGGGAAATGGGACATCTTATCCTATATTGAGTTTCCTTATGAAATATGTAATTAACATGTACTGTGTCAAGATATGCTAAAGCATTGATAACAAGCATTACTTTTATACAGGTTATATAACAGAGTGTTTAAGTGATATTGTGCCAAATTAATTTTAAATAGTAATGCCACTGCAATCTGAGTAAGGTGTTAAGGATTTGGTTTACAAACTAAAATGCTCCATAAATCACTAATTCTTTGGTTGTAGTTCTAGTTTGGCAACTAATGAGAGCCCTGACATTCTCTATACATCAGCAACCAGAAGAAAGGTATATTTCTTGATTTGAGCACCACAAATCAGAAGCTGAATGATACCTTAAGAAACTTGAATTAGAATGTCAGTTTAAGGAAGAGCTGTTATTCTCAAACAGCATGCCATGGCACCCTGGGGTGCATTGAGATCCTTCCAAGGGTGCAACACAGTGACAACTTTGCTAGGTGTGAAAACGTGATTCACAAGATAAACACAGATGTCAAATGGGACTCCATAGTGATAACAATGTTTAGTTGTGTTGTGATCTTTCTGAATTCTTTGCAGCAGAAATGCTTTATTATTTTTCTGTAGTCAGAAAATGAGTGAAAATGAAGAGCTGGCATTTTCCATGGGGTGCCTTGGGTCTAAAAAGGTTGAGAACCACTGAGGCAGAGCCTCTCTCTCAAGTTAGCTACGGTACATTCAGGGCTAGTCTATAATGAGGACAGATGGGGAGATAAATGAAACCACAGCACCAAGTTACTGCAACCAGCTTTTCCCTTTCATCTACTGTATACATTCTGAACATAACTGGTAGGAGGCAAGACAGCAGTTTTCTACTGTTGAAACTCTACAGGTTCAAAATACAAGGGATTCACTTACTTGCATTCAAGAGGTAATACTTAAAAGCCTATATAAAATCTGACCTTGTGAAACACAATGTGAATGAACTGGATAGTCAACTGTGCTTTACCCCTTTTAAAGATAAATTGTGAAAGGGTCAGGCTAACATTATAGGCTTTAAAATAAAGGGAAGAGATGATCACTCAGTAATGACAGACTCCAAAATCATTTTGTAGTCCTTTTCTCTGAAAATTCTTCTTGAGGAAAAGGATATAGTTAAGGCTGTATGAAAGCCTTTTTCCACCAAAGATAATCTTAAATCAACAACCTTAAAATCAGATTGCATTAGGTAAGAGCATTGATCAAACTTTTCTGACATCCAGAGAAAAACATCACTAGACTGGATTAGGCAAAGTGGAAAAATCTTATTCCCAATCAAGCTAAATAATTTTGTGTAGGAAGCAGAGGCTGAAAGCTGTTTTAACAACAAAGCTGCCTCATATTTCAGCTTGAAGCAAAATGTTCTATAAACCACTGTAATGGACAAGACTGTCTGATAAAAGCAGCAAAGGTATACAGTTAACAACTTTTTTCCTCCAATATTTTAGGACAAAGATTTCTAAAAACACATGTTTAAAGTTGGGCCTCTAAATCTATATTTTTGAGCACTGGAACAAACAGCAGCTTCTTTCAATGAAAGCTGCTGGGCACTTAGCACTTTGAAATGTCAGGTCATTTGTTTGCATGACAAAATATGGAGTCAGGAACCCATTAAGGGCAGAAGTCTGCTTCCCAAGTGTAAATGAAAAAGGGTTTGGAATTAAAAGGAAATGAGAAACAGATAAAGCACAATCTTCTGTTTCAAGGATTAAGCAGTTATGCAAATGATATAATCAAATTAAGACTAGTTTGATAAGACAAGGTAATTTTGTGTAGTTAGCATGTGATTTCTAGTTTGAAACCATCACGTCCAGGACAGAAGTGCAAATACTATTTGTCACAGGGCGGGCGCCCAGGAGGGGCCGTGATCTCTCCTGGCACCCCCTACCATGCCAAGTTGTCCGTCAAGCACCCTCGTTCTCGCCCGCCATGTCTTTGATGGTTCAAGTATTCTTAAGGGAGGCTGCCTTTATCTGTCCCCTTGGACACAGTGCTCTTACTTTTCCTGACCCCCATTCTATGTGGATAGATTTTTGTGCACCCAGCCCCATGGGCTATGCATGGCTCCTACCTCCCCTTATACCACGCCCCAAGCCTCTCTGATGTACTGGATGTTGTTGAATCACTTGCTATTGCCCGCATCCTCGTGCACGCCCTCCGGGCTTATCTCCTCTTCACACAATGTGCTCGCCCGCTCCGGGGCCTCTCACAACATGCTCGCCCTCTCCGAGGCCTCTCACAATGTGCTTGCCCTCTCCGGGGCCTTGCTCGCACTCATGCCCTCACTGGGGCCTTGCTCGCACTCACGCCCTCACTGGGGCCTTGCTTGCACTCATGCCCTCACCGGGGCCTGTCTCTGAGATCACGACGCCCTCACTGAGCCTCGCCTCGTATCTCCTGCAATCGGGGCTCAGGTGGCTGTTGCCATGCCTGGCCCCCGGAGTCCACGCCCCACTGGGGCTTTGCTTAGCAGGGCTCAGGTGGCCTTGGCCTTACCTGGCCCTCAGACCCCCTTTCCAGGTCCTATGCCCCACTGGGGCTTTTCCACAACAGGGCTCAGGAGGCCTCAGCCTTACCTGGCCCTCAGACCCCCTTCCTGGGTCCTACGCCCCAGTGGGGCTTTGCTCAATAGGGCTCAGGCGGCCTCGGCCTTACCTGGCTCCCAGACCCCTTTTCCAGGTCCTATGCCCCACTGGGGCTTTGCTCAATAGGGCTCAGGCGGCCTTGGCCTTACCTGGCCTTTGGACCCCCTTTCCGGGTCCTACGCCCCACTGGGGCTTTGCTCAATAGGGCTCAGGCAGCCTCAGCCTTGCCTGGCCCTCAGACCCCCTTTCCAGGACCTACACCCCACTGGGGCTTTGCTCAATAGGGCTTAGGTGGCCTTGGCCTTACCTGGCCCTCAGACCCCCTTTCCGGGACCTACGCCCCACTGGGGCTTTGCTCAATAGGGCTCAGGCAGCCTCAGCCTTACCTGGCCCCTCCGATACACTGTGCCCCCTTCTCAGGGCTCTGGGGTTAGTACACCCCTAGATGCGGTGCCCTGTCTGGCACCAGACTGTTGTGCCCTCTCTGGCACCAGGAACCCCCCCCCACGCTACTGAGGAGCTCCTATGAGGCCTCCTCCAACCCCTTACAGCCTCACCTGGTCCTCCGGTTTAACAACAACAAAACAATATCATAAGCCAACCGGCTACAACTCAAAGATAAGCCTTGTGGCTAAAACATAACCTCTAATCCCTCTAGTTAATCATCATTCCCATCCCTGCCAGGAGTTCCTCTACCTGGCATCCTCTCTGGTAAGTGGCTCAGGCCATCAGGCTTCTCCACTCTACCTGCTCCCACTGAGCTCCACCTTCCTTGACTGCCAGAGGGGAACTGACTTTCCGGCCTCAGCTTGGTTGTTTATAAAGGCCAGGCCCTGCCCCCTTCTGGTCAGCTGACCAGACTGGTTGCCTCAGCAACCCGCACCTGTGCTGCCCTGGTGACTGGCAGCTGAACCCATATTACTGTTGTCAGTAGCAGGCACCTTAGTGCCCTGCTACACTATTCATTTTACAACAAAATGTATACATCACAAAGTGAATTGAACAATTAAATTTATACCATAAATTATCATAGAAAATGGAAGACATCTAAATAGTTACCAGTCTGTCAGAGTAATTGTTAGACAGATATTTACAACCAAAAATTTAATTACCACATTTCCAACTGAAAAGCACATGTATGTGACTAAGTAATGCAGAATTTAACACTACTGTCATGAGAGACTTCTAGGAGGACATTGTTCTTTTAATTCTGAGAAGTTTTGAATGAGGGCTATGACTCTCTCACACCCAACACTGAGAATGTACACAGCCAGACACAGCATTTCTCAGTGTTCAGAGAAAGTGAAACTACACTTTGCCTTGCCCTTGCGCCACCCTAACAGTGGAATGTGTAGCCTGTGTGTGTGGTGCACAGATCAGGGAGGGGACAGGCAACCTACCAGCAGATAAGGTAGAGAGCAGAAAGCAAAGCCGCAGGTCAGGCAGGGACCATAGGGTAGGGAGCAGAAAGCAGAACAGCAGATTGGGTAAAGGAAGAGAATTGGAGTAGCACTTGGAGAGGGTGTGGGGCTAATTTGTGATGCGCTTGGTAAAATGGCTGGCCCACCACTAATGCCGTAGTAAATATACTGTGGAATAACAGGAGATACTACCAATCAGGGTTAAGTGACCTACTAGCATTGCATATATGCACAAAGACCAATTCTGGACTAATTTACACCACATTAATTCCACTACAGTGCCTGGGGTATAAATTCAAAGAAAGACATACAAGATTTCTTCCTCTGTTATTTTATGTTTTTCAAAATGTCAGGTTCAGGGGAAGCTTCCTAGCGTTTGCAAAGTGCTTTGATAATTAACCTGTTGAACCAAATCTGACTGCAAAGCATAGCTCTGGGATTTTATTTCAAGAAGACTCAGGAATTCTTTTAATTTCCAATGGATCCATCAATTGAAGGAAGAATTAACAAAGTACCTAGGCAACTTAAGTTTCCTGTAATATCTCCTGTATCAGTGCATATATTCCTGGCCCATTCCTTTTTTGGCAGATAATGTTCTGGAGTCAGAATAGCAGCATCAGGTATGGTGTCAACAGAGTTGTCACAAATAACAACCATGCTACAAAACTGAGGTATTGTTAAAAAAAAAAGAGTCAGTTTAACTTGTTTATTTCTCCTTCATGTTTGATGGATCTACTTGAAATATACATAAATATTACTCCTCTCCCCTGATTTATAGATTCACAGAGTGATGCCCGACAACCCAGCAACTCTGATAATGTAAGTTCTTCGGTACTTAAATGTCAGAAGTCTGGAGTATTAGCTTTGGCATCACTGAGTGAAGGTGAAGTAGGCAGCAGGGAGAGACTGAACATAAGACAGTAGGTTTGTCACAAATAAAGAATCTTAATAATCAGCTGGGATAAATGCTCCTAAGCATAACCTGAAATATGTATCATGAAATGTTAAAGAGCATATGGAAATACTGCAAATTAAGAATTCTTGCATGTAAACATTACTACCTAATACAGTGTCTACTCCTGTACCCACAACTTGGTGCTAAGAGGAGCAATGGCGCTAAGTGCTTTCCAGAGCAGGCTGTAAAAACACGAATATACAGAAAGAGATAACCAATAATTTTGCTCTTCAGTGCTAATGAAACAAAGTGTCAAATGAGTGAGACTGGTGTAAACTCTCAAAAGAAATCTGGTGTATTTTCACTGCAGGATTACATCAGGACTAAATTTGGCTAAAAAAACCTAAAAAAAACCCAAACAAAAAACCTAAACCAAATAGTTGGGGGTTGCCATATGCCCTAATTAGACAAATGTTCTCACCTTCAGAGTGCAAACACTTTACAAACTAACCAGTTTGAAGCTGATGTACAAGGACCAGTTTAAGCTCTAAGGCTTTTTATTTATGTTTTAAAGCTAATACTTGAATGATCAAAGCTTATTTTTAACATGATCTTAATTCCAGACAACTAATTGGATCAAACTGGGCTGCTCCACAGAGTGAATTTGATTCAGTGCTCTCCTAAGCCAGTCTGGGAACCCCCAAGAATGAAAACAAAGTAAAAAAGGAAGAAGGAGAGATATTTACAAATGTACCTAGACTGAGCAGAGATAGCACACGAAATAGTTGAAGCTGCTAGTGACATGTTCTTGGACCCAGTGAAAGGTTTAGGCTGTGAAAGGGAGGTAGGGGCTGCAAACACTCTGCAGAGGACACAATAAAAGCATGAAAGCATGTACAAAAGAATTTAACAAGGACAAAAATAGCAACATCTCAGAATCAAGCCTTGTATGAGTTCAGAGACAAGAGGACCGCTGTATAGTTGCCAGCAACACATGTGTTTTCTGTGGAATACATCTGCAGACTTACAGTATAGCACGAGCAAACACATTCCTATAGAACACAAGACAAAATTCACAGGTTACCAAGAATATTAAAACTGGAGTGTATGGAGTGATATCAGAGCTGGTATTTCAAGCAAGTATCTTTTGTGCGTACATTTGTAAGGAACAAGATGTTCGAATGGGAAGTCAAAGTAAACATCTCAATATTCAGACAATGCCAAAGTAAGTGTGAAAGACTCATGATCAATATTTTTGTGACCATCCCATAAGATATTTATACTTTTGACTATATGGAATAAGAATTTATTTTCGAGGCTTGTATTACATATTCCATTTTTATCATATTGCAGTTTAAATAAAGATCAACTATGGGCTAAATTTATTTAACTTATGCCATTAATGCATGTGAAATGGTTTTCCACATAATGGGAAACGATGGCATTATACTTCACTTTGATTTCCTCCTACTGGCTGGTTATCTGACTCTCTACCATCAGTTTAAAAATATTAGTGAGTCCTACAAACTATGGCTAGGAAGAAACTTGCTCTTTTATTATTGTAATAAAAATCCTATAGAGTCCAACAAATCATGGCTAGAAAGAAAATTGAAATATTAGCAAATACAAAAAAAGTTGTTATTTCTAAATATTGAAAAGAAATGTTTTGTTTTTGAACATTAAATTGTGTTAAAATGTGCAAGATAAAAGCAGCAAAAGCAAATAACTTTCGTAGCTTTTAGGAATGATTTATGTAAGAAAAAACTGTAAAGAGAAAAGAAAAAGAAACCCCCGCCCCACACATTCATTCTTATTATTTTAGCAATTACTATAATATGAATGGCAATGACATACATACATTTTCCCTACAATTTGAATAGTCTCCTAATTCTAGATATACATTTAACTCCCATTATTATACAAGATTTATCATATACATCCTGGGTCCTGTAGATGTTCCTTCTCAAATTTCACTTCAACTGTACAGTTAAACTTCATTACAGAATAAAAACAATTAAATGCAATAAAGATTAATTGATTTAGTGTCTTATAGAGAAATCAACCATTAAGTGTATGGATCTTTGATGTCCTGTACATTACACATACCATATAGCTGAGCGCTGTCATATTCTACTAAATATGTAAGGTCCTTATTTGTACAGTATGTTATTATTCTTAGAACCTCCAAAGTATAATATAATTAGATATATTGAAACAGAGACACTTATTTTTGCTAGCTTGCTTAATTTATTAATCTGGATATTTCTTTACATTTGATTTGAATACCTCAATCATCAATGTAAAGAATTTTCACTCACCATTTTAAATACTGTCAAAATGTAGTTTCCTTACTATATTAGAGAAAATATTTATATTTTAATGTAAGTTTTGACTTTTGAAAAATGTAAATTTTATTCCTCATTTTAAGTAACATTTGATTTTGTTTGGAGATTCGCATTATATTTTGCAATTTCCTTGCAAATTACACAATCCAACAGCAAATTCAATGCTGAAACATAAGGAACCACGCACAGTAGGATAAAGCTCTCCAGTATTTAGCATTAAAGAATTTGTATACAGCCTTTTTTAGGACAAAACAGCGAGATGTATGCAAACAGACAAAGCAAAAAAGCATTACCTTTGGAAAGAGGATGAGAAGGAGTCTTGTATTACTGAAGTAGGGCTGGCTGAAGGTGGTGTCATCTGATTGGTTGTGTTTTGAGCAACAGTAGCAGGCTGATTGGCTGAAGCAGCTGGCATAGGAGCAGAGGCAGAGCTGGTAGACACTGGAGCATGCTCAACAGGGGTACTAATTAGAGTTAAATTGAATAAAACAAGCATCTTAAAAAGTGTATGCTTACTGTGCAAAGGTATAAAACCTACTGTGTTTGGGCAGAGCTGCAAGCAGAGTGTCAAGCTATATTATTGGGAGACTAACACAATTACGCAAAGTAAAACAAGGACATGTGTTAGGCTTCTTCTGTAATTGCAGTTAGGAGTAAAATGCAGTTCAATGCTCAGTTCAATAATGATCTCATGCCAGTGAAATCCATCCCGGATCTTATATAGTGCATAAGGCCTCAGTGCCAAGTCCTGCTTCCACTGAAGTCAATGGCAAGGGCACCTGTGGGACTTAGGAAACGGTGTGGAACCTCTTACGAGCTCTTGGCATGGGAGTAAGTTTCATCCACACGCACACAATATTAACTAATAAGGCAACTCCACAGTAAGTCTCATGTAGATGCACCTGCTGAAACCAAAACTTCATCTAGTCTTCCACTGATTCCAATATTTTTGCTAGATATATACTTAAATACCCCTTATTACCATTTTTATCGGAACAACTACCAATCATTAATAGATTTTATTCACAACTCTTCTGAAAAGTGTGAAAAGTATTAGCTCTGTTTTGTGGACAGTGAACTGAAGCACAGTTTATATTAAGGGGACAGACACATGAAGCATTTGTTACAGGATACATTTATTTGATTCTGTAGTAAAAGTGGAGGGTCCCATGACACAGCCTTATATTGGCTTATGTCATTGCACTCCAATGTAAAGTTACTCCTCAGAAAGTGTATTAGTCAGTTTTACTCTGGAACAGAAGTTAGTTGAATACCAATGATTTGGGGGGGGCTGATATTTGCCTAATACAGGGTTGTTCAACCCTCAGCCCATGGGCCAGATCTGGTCCCCAGTGCCATGTCAGCTAGCCCACAGGGTTCCCCAGGGGGGGAGCCTGGTGGCTATGGGTTTGTACACTAGATAGGACACACATGTTGGCATGGGATCCAATCCTGGCACATAGGAGGGGGCATGGACCCCAGAGCTTGTTCCTGGTGTGCAGGGGCAGCATGGGGCCCCGGAACCTGATCCTGGCTGGGAGCGGGGCAAGGGGGCAAGAGCAAGGCAGAGTCACTGCTTCTGCCTACCCAGGATTGGGCCCTAGGGTCTCACACTGCCTCTACCTGGTGCTGACACACCAGGATTGAGCCCTGGGGACCCACACCACCCCGGCCAGGCAGTATCAGGTGCTGGGTAGAGGCATGCAGGGTCCCAGAGTCCAATTCAGGTATGAGTAGGTTGGGCAGAGCCTGATCCGGCTTGTGGATTGGCCCTGCACTATTCACCTGGCACACTGGGCCAAAACTGTGAACAGCACTGAACTAATGCAAACTGGCCCCTGCCACCTACTGGCCAAGTGCCATAATATCATCTGCAAGCAGGGAGAGCTGATTGTGTAATTGCAGTTTATTACAAAATAAAGTTACAACAGAGTAAAATCCAGGGTAGATTTTTCCATGGTAATTATGTTGCATCTCTGCACATCAAATGACTTGCCCAGGGTTACACTGGAATTTTGTGGCTAAGCTGGGAAATTAACTCAATTTACTTGAATCCCAGCTCAGTGCCCTATGCATTTGACCAGGGGTATCAGTCTTGAATGAGGTGGCAGGCTGCATCTGGACCATGTGGCTTTTTGTGGACCAGGTGACCTAATGCTGGATCTGGCTCATGGGGCTTCTTGCCATGGCTATCAGAGCCACTGTTTCAACAAGGCCAGTACACGGGGGTTAACACTGCTGCTGTTCTGCTCCAGATGTGCATGTTGAGCGGTAGAAGGTAAGGGCAGAAGCAGCATTAACCCCCTGGGTATGGCCGTGTTGATGCAGAGAGTCTAGGAGCTGCAGTGAGAAGCCACAGGATGAATCAGGAAGTGACTCATTTGGCCAGAGAGAAGCCCTGCAGGCCAGATGACCCACCTCTGTCAGCTGAATCTGGCCTGGATAACCCAACCTCATGAGCTGTATGTTTGACATCCCTTCATTAGACCATTTTTTCTTTCCTAGTATTGAGTAATACTATGTTTCTGAGGAACTCTACATGAGCTGAGTCTGACATTGGAATACTTTAAAAATAATTAAATTAAAAAAGAGAATAATGACAGAGAATAATGACTGTTGCACCAGCCAGTTATACCAAATGAGGTAAACAAACCAGGCTCATGTCGAACAATCCCATTTGAAAAAACAAAACAAAAAGTGAATGAAAAGAAAGTGAAAATCAAATCTAATTTAATATTTAGAAACCAACAGTTTGTTCCCTTTCTGCATTTCATTCATCATTGTCTGCATAATAAATATGTCTCTGAAAATATCAATCTATAATTTGGGTTTTCATATTATTATGCAAGGTTTTTACTGAAACTTCCACTTATAATGGAATACATAGAGTTGAAACCCAGACCTGACCCATATTGTTCCTGATGCAACATTTAATGTGCTGTGGATTCATTTGTCTTACCCATTATCACAGTACATGACAGCTATCACTACATAGCACTATAGCTGTAGATTATACAGTAGCCCTGAATTCTGGCAAAGCTGTGACTGCAATACCATGTTTAAAGATTAACATAGTTACTTCTTTTGACCTTAATAGGACACCATAATTCTGGGTCTTGTAGGTTGTTCAGGTTACGAGGAGATAATGGTGATTAATCAGAATTTCTCTGATGCAATCCTGTTTATTTACAAAGAATGTATAAAGATTCCTCCTTTATTTACACAGATTCCTCCTTGAACACAGCAGGAATCAAAGAAGACGCAGAGTTTTTACTCTCAGTTCGTTTACAGGTAGCACTTAGCCCAAAAGCTCTCCATTAGTTTTTTCTCAGGACCACATTCCCAATGCTTGTTCTCACTTCCAAAGTTTTCTTCCAACTCCCTCAAAACACAGATACAACTCTGCTACTCAGCTAGGGCTCCTAAATGTATTTGCTTTATCAATGTCTAGGAAAACCCTCCATCTATGTGGTACATATTCTACTCATGCTTGTCAGGGGTGTGTGTGTTTTATGTGGTAGCCTCTATTATTTCAGCTCTTACTAAAGAAAGGGGCCTTCTTCTTTAGCCTGAATGGAAGGCTGCCTGATTCAGTGGGTTTTAACCAACCCATATTAATAAAAGTCAAATCCATAGCTACTACTTTTATGTATTTTATCCATCATTATCTACAGAATTCCAGTGAAAATTCCTCCATTGTTTACAGTTTGGGATTCAGAACATGCTTTGCAACTTTTTCACAAAACTTTCTCATCACAATACACACATACCTGAAACAAATCTAAAGCTCCTTGTTCTGATGCCTTATTTTAACATGCTGTGAATTTATTTACCTTAGTCACTGTTTCAACATTATACATTACTATTTATAGGAAGAGGCATTGTACAATTACAACGCTATACATTACACAGTAGCTCTGGCTCAAGAAATATGAATCGCATTGGTTTATTTGCAAGCAATGCATAGCTGAGGGTCTTCTGTTTTAAGCAGTAGTTATATCGAAATAAACAAATTCTAAATGTAACATTTGTATCTTAGACTTGGCAAACTTGGGTGGACATCTTATTTCATCTGAAGTTTATACAAACAAGATGAAGTTTACTGTGGGTCTTTCCTAAACAAACACAACCTAGGAAGGCAAAATAAAGAAACAGAAATCCTTGCGTCCTTTGAGATCAATGAGAATTTTGTCATACATTTCAATAAAGGCCAGTGTTTCACCTAGTGAATGTAAGCATACAGTGGGGGTACTCAAGAGCTGCAGTTAGGAAGGCCAACCGTACCTTGTCATGCATCCACAGATGCATCTCAAGCAGGTCCAGAGAGGTGATCCTCCCCCTTTATGCGGCACTGGTCAGGCCACAGTTGGAGTACTGCGTCCAGTTCTGGGCGCTGCACTTCAAGAGGGATGTGGACAGCATGGAGAGGGTCCAGAGGAGGGCCACTCGCATGATCAGGGGACTGCAGGGCAGGCCCTATGAGGAGAGACTACGGGACCTGAACCTGTTCAGCCTCCACAAGAGAAGGCTGAGGGGGGATCTTGTGGCCTGTTACAAACTGGTCAGGGGGGATCAGAAGGCACTGGGGGAGTCACTGTTCCCCCGAGCACAGCCAGGAGTGACCAGGAACAACGGTCACAAGCTAGCAGAGGGTAGGTTTAGGTTAGACATCAGAAGGCGCTATTTCACGGTCAGGGTGGCTAGGGTCTGGAACCAACTTCCAAGGGAGGTGGTGCAGGCTCCTACCCTGGGGGTTTTTAAGAAGAGGTTAGATGAACACCTTGCTGGGGTCGTTTAACCCCAGTACTCTTTCCTGCCATGGCAGGGGGTCAGACTAGATGATCTTCTCAGGTCCCTTCCGACCCTAGAAACTATGAAACTATGAAACATATACTCACTGATTAATCAAACAAAGGAAAGTTAAGGACCTGTGCGGACATGTATGTATGTAGGAACAAGTTTGGAATGAATGAATATGTTTTTGGAGATATAAACATAAAGAGTGAATGTAAGTATATTAGAACACATGATAAATATACAAACCATTCACAGAACATTGTTTGCAAGGTGTCTTAGCAGCCTGAAATCTAAACACTAGGAGACTGGATCCCCCTCTTACAACAGCAGATCACCATGATATATATTCAGTATTGAATAGAATAAGAAAATTGAAATATGAAGCATATATAAACAGCAGAGACAGCAAGGTGATCTATCTACCTGTAATTTGGCACTTATGGCCTACTGCTTCTCTAGCTCTGAAGGAAGAACCAAGATCATCTTTGCTATCTTTACCAAAATCACTTAAAATATACAACAGGATAAATAAAAGAAGAGTTTGGTCCTTCATTTTTATGCTGGTACTCAGCTCACCTGAACATGTATTTTACAAATCCTGTAAATCATCAAGGAGAAATAATGGTCCCACTGAAGTCAATGGGTGGTATGCTACTGACTTCAGTAG